CTCTCCTACTTTGTAACGATTATCAGATGCATCTGATCTAACAATGATCAGACTGCATAGGATCAAAATAGAGACTACCAAACAAGGAACTAGTTTCTTCTCCATTTTCTCACTGTATCTCACAGATGTATCGAGTGAGAGATCAGGCAGGGTTATAAATTTGGGAACTTCTTAGGGCTGTGCCTTCCAGTTTCCTTGTAACTGTGGTTAGAATTGTTTTTTAAATAATTTTTAATATTAAAATATACAATAATAATATTTTTTTATATTAATATATAAAAAATATTTAAAAATACTAAAAATATATTAATTTTAAAAAATTAAAAATAAATAATTTTTTTTTAAATATTGTTAAAATATAAAAACAAATAAAACTGCCGTGTTAAAACAACGGCTTCCTTTAATTAACAAAGGGAATGAGATTTTTTTTCTTTGTTAAAACAACGGCTTCCTTTAATTAACACAGGGAATGAGATTTTTTTTTCTTTATATATATATATTATTTTCCTGAACAAATTCTCATTCAGATAGTTTATGGAAATCTCTTTTTTAATAATTTAATAGTTTTTCTTTAAAAAAATATTTTTTAAATTTACGTACTAGTAAAACTAATTTTTTTATAGTGTAAAAAAATAATATTAAAGTGCTATAAATATATTTTTAAAAAATAAAAAAAATATCCACAACTCAGCATTATAGAGAAAAAGTTAAAACAAAAAATAATGATTGTGAATCTTTAAAAATCAAAATATAGAAAAAAAATTAAAAAAAATTATATATATTTTTTCCTCAACAAAGTTTCATTAGGTTGTTTACAAAAATCTCTTTTTTAATAATTTAATAGATTTTTTTTTCAAAAAAGATTTGTTTTTTAGATTTATATACTAAATAATGTCAAACTAATTTTTAATGGTGTTAAAAAATAATATTTATGCACTGTAAATATATTTTAAAAAACAAAAAAAAAATATAACTCAACATTATAGGAAAAAAATTAAAAATAAATAATGATCGGCAATCCTTAAAAATCAAAATATAAAGATATAAAATTAAAAAACAAATCTTAAAAAAACAAATTACATGTAAAATCTATATGCACTGAAAGCCGAATCATTAATCATCACATCAATATTAGATCACGATGAATGAAGAAAATCCTTAAAGTTTGGATAGGTTTTGAGTCCTTAAAAAAATAAAACAAGAAGAAGAAATTCCTAAAAGATGACCTGATCTTGTCTCATTCGAGTTTGGATAGGTCATTGATTAATTTACGCATGTTAAATTATGCAAAATAATTCAAAAGAAAATCTAATCTGTGAATGGCTCTAAATCGATAAATTATTGGATTGATTTGTTAGATCATGTTGGTTTTAATGATTTTGAGTTTTTGTTTATAGATATTGATCTTTTATTCTTTTTTATTTTCAAAGCATATCCAATTAAAAAAAAAGCTAAATTATCAATATAATAATAATTTAAATAACCCATATAATCAATGGATAAATTGCCATTCTAATAGTTAAGTAGTTTTTTTTTTTTTTTTTTGTAATGCTCATGTAGCTCTCCTACTAGAGACGCTATAAGGAAGCTACAATGATAGGGCTTCAAGAAAAAAATATTAATTTAGTAAATGCATCTCATTCGAATCTTGTTATTAATTTTTAGAGAGATGATTTATGTATAAACAAGCCTATGATGATTGAGTGAAAATAATGGAGTATCTATTCAATACAAGTGATTCCCACGTTCATACTTGGAAATTAACAACAAGCCATTTCCTTCTAACGTGAATCCAATCAACTATTATGAGTTTGAATCCATTCAATGTCCCTTTCCCCCCATTACATTTCTTTATTCTTCCCTTTTATTATAATAATTTTAGTCTTTTTAGTAACTAATGTTTCTAAAAAGGGTTTGAGATAAAATCATAAGGTGTATAAATTAATTAATTTTTTTTAAATTTATATTGAGAAAAAACATAATAATATTGCATTACTTAAATTTATATTCAGATCAAACATAAAGCATATGAATCGATGAATAAACAAATTAGATCTAAAAAAGTTAATAAAATTAGTTTGGGGTTTGGAATAGATCTCTCCCTCTCTCTTTCTCTCTCTCTTAACAAGGGTAGATCTCATTCTGGTTGTCAGTATATACATAAAATATTTGAAGAGTGAGAGTTAAGGGACAATGCTCTTAATTTTAAAGGTGTATGGATGCTTAGATGCAAAGGATTATGACTCCACAACTCCCCAATGAACATTATTATTATTATTATTATTATTATTATTATTAAGTGAAATAAAAGATTCATTAGCTGCAAGTTTGGTGGATTTTGATCCCTCACAGGGAGCAGACAACTACACAATATAATAAAATTTTACTTTGATTTTTCTATTCAGACGTGGGCTAGAGGACAGCTGCTAGATTTTTAATCTCCGGCTGATTGGATGCCATGAAGCCATGAATAAATCTATAAAATACTATTTTATAAGCCTTTGTTGCGTTGTGAGTAAGATTAAATTTTCTTGAAAGTAATGAAAAATATGTTTTTTATATATTTTATAAAAAATTACTTAATAATAATATTATTATTAAATTCCGTCTAATAGATTAATTTTGATACTTCATGACTCAAACCTTTGCTTATTTCAAATTTAAAATTAAATAATATAATAATTATTTCTACATGATTAGCCAACTTGACTTGTTAAAAGAAACCTAGATAATTATTAAAAAACATGAGGATAAAATAAGAAAAATTAATAAAATTAAAAGGAAAAATATCTTTTTATTAATAAAATTAAAAGGAAAAATATCTTTCTCAACTTCTTATCTAACTCGAATTTAAAATTAAATATGCAAGGTTTTTTTCATATGACCTGGTTGATTTAATTTAAATACAAATTAAATAATTGGTAAAAACAATTTAATGATAAAATTAATAAGAAAAAAAATGTAAAATTAGAAAAGAAAAAAAAATACTTCTAACTTGACTACTTGCTAATTTAAATTTAAAATTAAACATGTCTAACATGTTATTTTAGCTAGTTAAAAAAGTTTAAAGACATGATTAAAGAAAAAGGATGAAATTAAAAGAAAAAAAACAGTAAAATAATAAAAAAAACCTCCAAGTTTTTTAGTTTGCAGTATGATTCCTTCACCTTTTATATTCTAATACTTCTAATAATAACATAGTTAATTAACTAATTAAAAAAATACTTTGAAAGGCATGGTTTCCCACCCTATTATTCAACTAGAGATAAATTATTGTGGATTGTCCTGATAATTTATTTTTTTAATCCCTCTTCTTTTTTTATTTTAATTATATTTTTATAAATCCAAATTGATGGTTAATTAAAATATATTTATTAAAAAAAAAAGGAACAAGATTCAAAGATAGAAGGCTGAATTGAAAAACAAAGAAGTTTTTAAAGTTTAAAATTTTGCACCACAATACCGTCAATTTATTATTTGGTTATTTTCCTAAACTTTCTCTAACATTTAATATCATTCTAATATGGTCCAATTTGTTTGTTTGTTTTTTTTCAAAACAATCCCACTAATCATTATTTATTTTTATCAAAATAAAATTCTTATGATATCCTGTTTATCCATTCTTTATTATTTTATAAAAATTTCATGCGGCTTACAATTCTAAGCAAACAAAAAATTTCAAGAAATTAAGGTATATTATTTTGAGATAATTCATTCATATAACATCATATATCTATTATGAAATTTTATTTTATTTTTTATTTCTCTTTCTTGAGTTTTATGCTAAAACCAGGAAATATTTTTTAGAATAAAGAAAATAAAAAAGAAAATTATTATAGCTAATATTTTAAAATTAGCATACATATTTAAATCACTTAACTTTTACTTTATTTATCCACCCATTTAAATTGTTTAACGAATTACAATGAAATTTACAATTTGACCCGTAAAGATTTAATTTAAAAGAAATCAAATTAGAGACTAAATTGTATTCACTGTAACATACGATAATAGAAACTCTATTATTTTTATACCAAAATTTCATCTAATAATTAACATCTAATCAGTTTAATATTTAAAATAAATTAAAATAGATTTTTTTTACATAGATTTAAAGGTAACGCATCACATCATTTTTGGGGCGTGTAAAATTTTATTTATTTATTTATAAAAAATATCATTTTTTTCCATAATAAATTAATTATTTTCATAAAATCCACGTGGACAAGATAGATCCACATGATATACTGGCCCCATGTTGACAGTATACATGCAAACAAGCCCAGTAACAAGGGAGTTCACATGAAAATGATGTAACAGCCCAGTCATTATTATTATTATTATTTTATTTGGATTGATTTATACATATTTTAACTAATTTTATAAATTTTAAAAGTAATAATCATAGTTATCATACAAACAACTATAAAGCTCAAACTCCAAACCACATAAAAAGACACAATTATTATTTTAGTACTGAAGAGAAAATGTTATACATTTTCTCGTATTTTTTAATTTCTTTTTACTTATTTTATATCCCACTCTTTTTTCAACTACAAGTATACTATCCCCATTGTCTTTATATTTTATGTAATAACAGTGAATAATCATAATTCTTACTCGGTTGTGATAGTGTCATGTATTTATTTTTTCTTTCTCTTTTAATCTATTATTTATTTTCTCCTGATTTTATTTATGTTCATGATTTTGCAATGCTTACTCCATCTTTTTCACTCAATTTTCTCACCAAGATGAATGAAAACAATTTTAGAATATTAGAATAATCATATAAATGTATTTTTTAAAATTTTAAAAAAATCACTAAAATAAAAAAAGGTAAAAAATAAGTTACAACAACAGACCTGAACCTGGGTTACCATAAAAATTTATCGAATATGAATTTGCACAAAAAAAGTCAATATATTTAGGCATGTTAATAATTATGAAGAGGACAAACCTTCTGGAAGGAAACTGGCACTGTTAGCCATCTTTAATGATGCTAAATTCCCCCACTTTGTCCAAAATTTATTTTCTATGAGAAAAGTCTTGCCGAAATTTGATGATTTTTGTGCTGCTAGTTGCTTCAAGAACCTGCTCTCCTGCTCTATAAATAAATAATCCAAAGCCCAGAAGAATTTCAAGAAGCATAAACTGTGACATCCAATATTATTCAATAATTAACAAACACAGCAACTCCAAGAATATCTTTCTTGTAGAGCATTTTAGGGATGGAAAGGGCACGAACGGTTGGTATCGGCATGGATTACTCTTCTACAAGCAAAGCAGCCCTGCGTTGGGCGGCTGAGAATTTGATAGGTGAAGGTGACCGAATTATTCTGATCCAAGTCCAGCCTCCTAAAGCTGATCATACCAGGAAGCAGCTTTTTGAGGGCACTGGATCACGTATGTATTAATTTTCCCATTTCTTAATTACTGCCTGTTCTTGTCCTGAAAACTCAGGGCTAGCTGTTGCATGTATCCATGGATTTAATTTATAATCTGTTTTTTTTTTACGAGTTTTCAGCCTTAGTGCCACTCGCGGAATTCAGGGAGATCAATTTTTCAAAGCAATACGGGCTTACTTATGATCCTGAAGTTCTTGATATTCTGGATATAGTTTCAAGGACCAAGGGGGTATGTATGCATGCATGATCTTAGTTTTGATCTATAATTTTCTGTATAAAATTTTCTGTATAATCTGCTCTTTTATGGGTGCCAATATGATATATCTATTTATGTGTTTGGTGATTAATTGTGAGGTTAATTAGCAGGCTGAAGTGGTGGCGAAGGTCTACTGGGGAGATCCAAGGGAGAAGCTGATTGATGCTGTGGAAGATCTTAAGCTGGATTCTCTTGTTATGGGAAGCAGGGGCTTAGGTGCTATCAAAAGGTATTTTTCTTGTCAATCAAATCTGAGTGCCCTAATGTGAATTTCTTTTTTTTTTTTTCATTTTTCATTTCCGTTTATCTCCCATTTTTAAACTGTATTTATTTTAAAAACATCAAATCCCAAATAACAACATCAATGTTATTTTTGTTCAACTTGTTCATTTATATCATGGGTATATTCATGATGTTTTTTTGGTTTTTTTCCTATACAAAACAAAAATTATTAAACTTAGCATACAATGGGGGATGTAGGGCTCCAACCCCTGCAAGAAAATTTTTTCCAGCTGTAAAACAATTAAAATTTTAATTTTTTTAAAATAAATTTTTTAATTTGATCCTTTTTAATTTATTTTTTTTTACTATACCGAGAATGAATTATGAGTTGACATAAAAATTAATTTAAAATGATATGATTTTAAGGAAATATTTAAAAAATCAAACAATTGGTTGTAAGTTTTTTTAAATGTCAAATCAAGGCAACCAAATTAATTTTCCACTATATTTAATTTAAAATCTGGTTCCAATCAAATCCGAATCCGTTACTAATCGGGTGGTCAAGACATTAGTATTCTTTCAGATGCTGAAAAGTAAAGGTATTCGGAGATATTATTATTTTTTAATATATTTTTGTATTTTAAAAGTATTTAAAAAATAATAAATGTTTTTTCATACATATTCTACCATGCTGATGGCAGGGTGTTGCTTGGGAGTGTTAGCAACTACGTGGTGACAAATGCTCCATGTCCAGTCACTGTAGTTAAGGGGTCCAAACCTTAATGTCCTCAAGAATCTAGCTTGTGTGGCAACATGGGATTGCTGACAATATCACGAGGCTCAATGTCTGTACTCTCACGTGTAGAATACCGTATTTGTTTTTTTACTGTGACGTTGGTATTTGGTAAGAGTAGATGCAAGCTACGAGTGCTGGTGTGATAAAATTGTGACAATGATATCAATGATTTGCTTCGAATTTTAGCTTTTCTCTATTTTTATTTTCCGTAGATATATTATTTTTTTAATTATTGTATTTGAATTATTTTTTTAATGTCAATGTTCAAATATTTATATATACTTTAACTAATTCTTTAAAATTTTAAAATTAATGGTTATATAAATTTTTAGTAGCTTTAAAATTAATATTTTTTAAGGAATAAATTCAAGGTTTTACTAATTAAATTATATTTTTTAAAATTAAAACAACTAGTTTTTAATTAATTAAATTAAATTACTAATTAAAAAAAGGAATATATATATATATATATAAAGAGTGTCCTTTTGTTATTGGGCTAGGGCACATTGATAGCTCCACGTCCATATCCTGCTTGGATTTCTTCAATTATGTGAGGCGGCTAATGATATTCTCGTGTGGTCGTTTTAATTCGGAAAAATCTAAACACAAATCTCAATAGGGTGCCCAAACTATGTAATTTCTTATTTGGATCATCAAAGTATCATACATTTCTCAATTGGGTCCTTCCATCCAAGGGTATTAATAATATTCGACATTAGAACCTGATTAAGTAATCTCTGATACATTGAAAATGAAATTAACCAATTTTAAAAGGTTATTTGTTGGGGGATGAAAATGGAGTTACCCTCTTAATTCCCTTACTCTCTATATATAATCCCATTGTATAGTCATGACTGGGAGAGCTTCAGCCGAGTCCTATCATTCATGTATATTTGTTTCATACGCAATATGCATCTCTTTTCCCTTCTTCTTTTCTACTTCTACCTTTAAAAATATAAAAAAACTCAAGACTAAAAATAAACATTTAGGATAACACATGTCGCCATCTACATGAGTAGATAAATGGCTCATGTTCCCTTGGAGGTCCATCTAAATTTTTTTCTAGCATAAAAAAATGTTTAGATAATTGTAATGTTTTCAAATAAACAAGAAATATCTAAAACATGGATTATTAATTTAATTAATTTAATAATATAATTTTTTAAAAAAACCAATAATAAATATAACAAACACAAAAAAAAACAATAATTAACTAAAAAAATGATTTGCCAGTATTATACATGTAAATAAAAAAAAAATATTAGCAACTTAGTGTTACTCTATTATGAACATTACTTAATTACTTAGGAAAAGTTCATCGGAATAATTTTAATGTCATTATTAAACATTACACGATAACATTGAAAGAGATCGCATATACCATTAAAGTAACAAATTAAAAAATAAACTAAATAAAATATTATTAATTGAGTATCTCATGAAAATATTTAATCAATTAATTTAGTCTAGTTCAAAAATAAATTTTTTTAATAAAGATAAATTTAATAAAAAAACAACAAATAAAAAGATAATCTAAGTTATTTTTTAAAATTTTGAAAAATCATATAAAAAATTTAATCTCTAATTAAATAAATGAAATTAAAAAATCATGAGTTAAAAAAATAAAATAATTTAATATTGAAGTAAAAATAAATCTTATGCAAATCTTAAATTTAAGTTAATTTTTTAAATGTGCAACCTATGAAATTTTAGATTAAAATTTAATTAAAAAAATTAATTCTAAAAAAAATCAAATTGTTTGATTGAAGAGATATAATCAAATACATAAAATAAATCTACCATTGAAATAATTTTAAAATAATTTTATATTATTATTCCAAATATAAAATACAGATAAATTTATCGTTGCTATCTGTATCTTTTTTATTCCAAGAAATTAACCCAACAATACCTTATTCTTTATCTTTAGACGAGACTAATTACAAGATTTTTTAGTTAGAATTTTTTATTTTCCTTTTAAGCTTGCCATTTCATGTCCCCTGCATTGGAGCTACGAGTCTTAAAGAGATAGTGATTAGATAATAGTACTAGAAAATTGGCGGCCATATGGCGTGACTCTGATCATTTTTTTTTTAATATAAAAATAATATTAAAATGTTTGATATAATTTTTTAATTATATAAATATTAACTTAATATGGCATGAGTAATAATAAATTTAAAAATAATTTAGATAATTGATAAAAATATAATTTAATTTAAAAAATTTAAAATAATATATTTTTAAAGAAATATTGAAACGATAATATATTAAATCAAATTTGATAAAATTGGATTAACATGTCAAATATATTACCCAAATCATAAGATCCTATTAATCAAATAAAAAATAAAAAAATTATTAAACTTAATTTTTGATCAACTAAATAATAACTAATAAAATTAAAATAAAAAATAAGACAAATCAACCCGGATTAATCGACTAAGCATAGATCATGAGATTAGGATAATCCTATAGAAATTAAATCAAAATAAATTATGAAACTCAATTCATAAAATTAATTTAATGTCGAATGATAAAATTAAAAATCATTGCTAAAAAAAAAAACACAACAATCAACTCGAATCAACCAACCAAACAATAATGTCATGAGATTGAAATAACCTCATAAAAAATAAAAAAAAAATTATAAAGTATAATTCTCAATCAAACAAATATTGAATGATAAAATTAAAAAAATAAATTCAACTAAAAAAGAATAAAAAAACCTTCGGTCAACCGGCATAACCCGCAACCTAAATTATAAGATTGTGATAATATTATAAAAAGTATAATAATAATAATAATAATAATAATAAGGCTCAATTCTGAATCAATCTACTATTAAAAAATTAAAATAAAAAAAAATAAAAAAATCTGAGTTAACTCTGCTTAACTTACAAAATTTGAATCAAGAAACTGAAATAACTTCATAAAAAACAAATAAAAAAATTAAAAATTCAAATTCTCAATAAATCTAATGTTAAAAGATAAAATAAGATAACTGCTCAATTTAAAAAAAGGATAAAAAATATCCGAGTTAACATGACTAACCCATAAAACTCGAAAGTTGAGTTATAAAACCATGATAACTTCTTAAAACATAAATAAATAAAAAACTATAAAATCTAATTTCCTATCAACTCAATATTAAAAAATAAAATTAATAATAATGTCAAAAATAACTTGATTTAACACAGCGAATCCTCAAAACTTATAATATGAGTCGTGAGGTTAGAAAACTTTATAAAAAATAAATCAAAATAAAGTATGAAGTCTAATATACAATAAATTCAATATTAAATAATAAAATTAAAAAATATCCTCACAAATATAAGGACCAAAATAAAATAAAAAACTTGGTTTTTTTACCATTCGTCGCTACCATGAAAAATCAACCCCTTTTAATTCTTTTTTATTTCATAATAATAATAATAATAATAAAAAACAACAACTAATATTTTGTCCAATCTACAAAACTCACAATACACTAGGTACAAATAAACATGAAAATTAAGGTAAATGACTATTGTTTTTCATCATACAATATAAATATTTTTTATTTAAAAATATATTAAAATATATTTTTTAGATTTTTTTATTTTTAAGCTTAACACATTAAAATTATAAAAAATATTAAAAAAATCAATTCATTTTTTTCAGTCTAAAAACACTTTTAAATTGCACTCAAACACAAAAAAAAAATGAAAAAAAAAGGAAGAAAGAAAGATGCCTTAAAGCCTCTATCTTGAGTTTGTGCAAAGCAATTACCAGGTGATCAAGTCCCTATTAAACCCCAATACTTGCATGATTTCTTTCACTAAATATTTCAAGGCACTATCACTGTTCATGTTGTTCATAACTCTGAGCGATGCAGCTTGCTGTACAAAAAGAACACAGCTTTCCATCGCTAATGATCCGGATCCAGGCTCGGAACTCTTAGTTCATTGTAAGCCGTGAAATTATGATCCTGGCTTAAAATCCCCTGTACTCGGGGTACTGGTCATTTGATTTTATTTTTTAAAATTAATATGATATTTATATTAATTTATATATATCCCAACTAATCTTATACATAATAAAATTAATAGTTATATAAATTTTATCAATTCTAAAATTTAAATACCTCAAACTAATAATCTTTATATTCTAACTAATTTCATAAATTATAAAATTAATAATTATATAAATTTTTAATAACTTTAAAATTTAAAAACTCGAACTATCTTTAACTATCTTTAAGATCCAACTAATTTAGCTGGCTAATCATTTAATTTTTTTTTTTAAGATTAACGTGGGTGTGCGGGCCAGCTTGCACGCACCATGATTAATTCCACGAGCCTTGAAGTTAACGACCATATAAGCCTCTAGTGGCCATCATATGAGCAACCAAGGACTCAAACCTGAAACTATAGAAAAAACAAATCTTTTAATTTTATTTTTCTAATCATTTAATTTTTGTCCTAGTTGGTGGGGGAGATGCCTTGTATTTTTGCAACATGGTATGGAATGAACAAAGTAAACTGTTCGATATCTACACAAGAGAAAGGGATGGTGTCGGTTGGCTGCCCTGTCCTTCGAACTGGTCCGTGGAGGCGTAGTGATGGCAAAGTCAATTGTTTTCCATGGAAGCAAGGATAACTCCAATGAGTTCTCCCAGGTCAGAAATAGGATGGAGATTTAGAAAGGATCTTGAAGTCTGTATGCTAGGTCTCCTGTTTAATAAAAAAATAAATTACTTCTTTATTTATCACTTGCAACTATAGTTGTAAAATCCGGTCTGCATTAATTTTTAAATATATAATTTTTTTAAAAAAATAATGAACTAAGGGTTTTGTTTTGCTGATAGAGTTCGCTAAGATCTTTTTTTTTTTTAATTCAAACCGATCTAAATCTTGAATTAGCTAAATCTCGAGTTAACCTCCGCATCATGATTTTATAATTAAGGTTGAGACTTTAAAGATTATATATATATAGCATTATACTGTACATGTCAGTGTAATTGGCATAGCTTTCTCTATTTATATTATTGCTTGTTTCCAGTGGTTATGAAAAATATTTTTAATTTTATAAAAACATTTTATGCCACAATCAGTTGAATTTCAGCCAGCATTCATTTTCAATCCAATAAAAATAATTTTTATTTTTATTGGATTGAATATCGGAACCTAATTAAATAATGGCTGATACATTTAAAAATGAAATTAATTAATGTAAACGGTTATTTGTCAGGGATAAAATTGAAGATCGCCTCTGAATTTGTCTCTTAATAAATAATTTTTTTTTGGGTACGGGTGCTTGTTAAGTTTCATTTAATACTTTTAATCAATCACAATGCTTTCTTTTTTGTTTATAATTTATTATAAAATCATTTAATACTTTTAATCAATCACAATGTTTTCTTTTTTGTTTATAATAAGAATATTATCATAAAAAATAACACTTATTTAATGTCTTTAATACATCTAATTGGTTTTTTCTTAAATATCTGAGTTTTATTTTTAAAAAAATTAAAACAATAAATTAAGTTTAATAAAGCTCACATTTTTTGAATTCTAATATCATAAACTAATTTATGCCCCCCTTTTTTTATTCTAATATTAAAAGAACTAAAAAACTAAAGAAGATTAATGTTTAGCTACACACAAAACAAAACATTGTAGATTAAAATAATATAATAACTATTTTGCTTATCTCAACAAAAATAATTGAATTGTTTATTAGAGGTGATATATATTTTTTTAAGGTATATTAGTCACTACTGAATTGATTGCGATAGATCCTTTTTTCAACCTTTTTTGAAGCACTAAATTAATTTTAAAAGCAAAAAATATTTAACTGGATTCTAGGTTTTTTGTTAATTTTTTATTTTTTTATTAGTACAATAAAATAATTAAATTACCTTCAAAAGCAAAAAAAAATAATTGGTGTCCAAGGTTTTTTTATTTTGTATTTTCAACATATTTGTTTTTGTTATAATTAAGTTGAATTAGGAGAATTTGACAATTTATTTGTTTTTCTTTGTTAGATTAAGCATTTTTTAAGGATTTTTTAATTTAATTTAATTAATTGATTAAATATAAAAATAAAATATTCACTTTATGATATTTTTTGGTTTGTTTTTTAAGTCCTTGTTATTGTTGCTAATTAATTAAATATAAAAATAAAATATTCACTGATATTTTTTGGTTTGTTTTTTAAATCCTTGTTATTGTTATTGTTACTATATAGCCTTTCATAATGATACTAAAACCATCTTGATTTTTGATGAGCTTTTTCTAATAATATAGTGGTGTTAACAATGTAATAATGATGAGTTTTCAACAATATTTTTTTTCTCCCTTTTTACATATGATATTAGTAACTTATTTTTTATAATTAATTATTTTTAAATTTTTTCTTTTTTTATTTACTATCAATATTTTTTTAATTATATTATTAAATTACTCAAATTTATTAAACCCACTTATATCTCAATGACCCGAGTCTCAATTTTTTTTTTTAAATCTCCAGCATTACCTAAATATCCTTTTTTTTAGTTAAGAAAAACCTAACCTGGCCTACTTACATAATGCAAATCACTTATCAATTATTGTCTACCAATTTCATAATATTGTCCTTCTCCCATGAACTAATTTGATTACCTGTAATTAAGAGAAGGTTCACTAAAACATCTCTTAAGATTGAAATTTCAAGGGATTGGTTAATTATCTTTTGTGCTAGGCTTATGAAACAAGCTCAATTAGACATTAAAGATAATTTTCAGTAAGTTTTTTTCCTAATGATTTACTTTGAATTTGATTGTGAAATATGTATTGAATTTAATTTTGATAAATGAAAATTCACTCGAGAATACTACTAATTGTAAATAAAACCTTGAAAGCTTAAGAGGGATATATATTATTATCATATAATAAGTAGAATTTTAACAAATTCCAGGAATAGAAAATATTGCAACTTGAAAAATATTATTCGCGTTTTCAAATCAAAAGTATTAAAATAATGCTTTTGGTTTGCAACGCGAATGTAGTGACAACCACACCGGCATTTCCAAATGCGACTAGGGTTCATACTCTTTTGGGAGATAATTGAAGAAGTGAGAAAAATCTTTAGCAAACACCATTCATCTTCTTCTTTTCCATGACAAACTTCCTCCAAATTGTAGTTATCTCCCTCTGGGTCTCTAGAGCAGTTTTCTTCACAACCACAGCACCATGCTGTTCATTATCACCATCACCAGAAATCGAAATCCTAGCACAAACTTTGCATGGTACGGTCTCAAGCTCATGGATAACTTTCTGGATATCTTTGACAAGCCGTTCGGCTAGTGTTCGTGAGAAGTCTTCTCGTATAACGACGCGCAACACGGTAATATGTTGAGCATCAGGAGGCATGGTGTACGCAGGCACAATCCAACCAAACCGCCTTAGCATGTCGGATACCTCGAACTCATTGTGGGTGCTACTGTCCTTCAAAGAAAAGGCTACCAATGGTACTCCAATGTCTTTAGAGATAATGTCGAACCTGCCTGTCAGCTCCAATCCTTCTTTGAGCACGAGCATGTTGTCTCTACAATTCTCCATAACATTCTTGTATCCCTGATGCAAAAATGCTTAATAATTTTGGTGTCTCAAAACTAGCTAATTTCTCATGTTCATAGATGTTGAAACCTACCTCATAACCCAAACGAATCAGTTCATAGTACTGGGCAATGACTTGACTAGAACCTGCAACAACAGGAGGCAAGATTTAGCTTATCCATGTAAGATATAGGGTAAGCTAGGTAGGTAGAAAACTGTTAAGAGAAAGCTATTTTGAGCTTGGAAATAACCTTTAGAGAAGTTAAGGGTGAAAGTGGGCTGATCAGCTCCGAGATAATTGATATGGAAGATAAGCTCTTCAGGCAAGTCCTCTTTGCTCCTCCAAATGACCCAACCAATTCCAGCATAAACTAGTCCATATTTGTGTCCACTAACATTGATGCTCTTCACCAATGGCAACCGAAAATCCCATTCGAGATCAGGGTATAGGAAAGGTGCTATGAATCCTCCACTTGCTGCGTCCACATGGATTGGTGTATCCCATCTGCAAAAGAGTGAAATTCTTGTTGGATTTAGTGTAACGTACATGTAAGAATGTAATGTCGAGAGAGAGAGATCATACCCCGTTTCCTTGTTCTTCTTAGTTAATAGATCATTCAAGAGTTTGACATCTTCAAACTCTCCATTGAGAGTGGAGCCAAGGATAGCAGCAACACAGATTGTGTTCTCATCCACCATTTCCACAGCCTTTTCAGGGTCCATCACATAATAGCCTTCTCTTAGCTTCACTTCTTTCAACTCCACTTCAAAATACCTCGCAAATTTCTCCCAGCAAACCTTTCAGGCAAAAGGGTCAACAAATTCTAAGCTATTCTAGCAATGATCACATTTGACTTACTGAAAAAGAAGCATAGTACTAATCTAAAATTATTACCTGAACATTGGCCCCGGTGACGATGTTGGGTTGATCACAGGGCTTTCCCTCAGCTTTTCTCTTGTTCTGCCATTTTCTTTTGAATGCTAAACCTGCCAACATGATTGCCTCTGAGGATCCCACAGTTCCTACTCCAACTGCAGTCTCTGATTCTCCAAGTGGGGCATTGAAGAGATGTGCTATCATGTTAACACATCGATTCTGCTTGTATTGGAATTAGAAGATGAGCCCCACGAGCTTTAATATTAAATGTTCGTTATTTAAAAGATGATTGTAATTCAGATTTAAATTAATTATTTTTTGAGTTAATTGGGACTGATTTGGTTTCTCATTAATAAGACCATATGAAGAATAAGGCAAAATTATATGAGAAGCTTTATTGTTTTAAGAAGGGAATTATGTGGTTAAATTATTTTGATAATTTTGTAAATTGATTTTTTTGGAAAAAGACATTTGTCTCCGAAGTATCCCATTATTCTTGCTGGCTCCCCAAACCAAAAGCAATTCCCAATTAGATCCCTCTTCTATCAAACATCACCCAATTAAAATGGTCTCGTTTCTTAAGATTTAAAGGCAAAAAATTTAAGGGGAGGGTTTCTTGGGTAAGGTCTAATCGATTAGGGGATCCAATTGGGATTTTTTTTTTGTTTGGGGACATTGTTGAGAGTTGTATGATAGTTGGGGGATCAATGTGTTCTTTGCTCTAATTTTTTATTTGAATGTAATGATAATATTGTATATGAAATCTCCTTAAAATAATTAAATTATTTTTAACAATGATTTCTTAATAATTTTGGTGCATTTATCTATAATGTGATCTTTCTAGCTTCTTAATTGATTTTTTTTTGGTATTTTAAAAAATACTGATATTTCAAGAGAAATTATCATACAAGATTAAAGAGAGTTTGGGGTCCAAAATGTGCATCGGGATTCCATCACTTTTTACTAACTGCGAATATGATTTATTAATAAAAACAAATTCCAATATTATTACCAATTTCTGCTCTAAATTCTTTTAATATCAAAGTTAATAAATCTGTTCTTGCCCAGGGTTTGAGTCGCATGTTGAACATCCAAATTAACTTGACTACCCAGGTCAATTTAAAATAATGAGGTTTCATGAATTTTTTATTTAAAAAATTAAAATAATATTATTTTAATATTTTTTAAATTGAAACAAGTTTATAAGTAACTTGACAAGTCATTCAAATTATATTAAATAAATCTTACCCAACTCAAAGGTTGGTCGATGAATCATCACGTTCATTTATTACAGTAAGTTGAGTTTAATATTTTCATTAAAAAATTATTGATTTTGAGTTTTAAAAATATTTTAAAAAAATTAAAAAAAAATTATTTTTATTTTTTAGTATTTTTAGATTGTTTTCATACTAATATTTAAAAATATTTTTTTAAAAATAAAAAAATATTATTTCAATATAATTTTAAATAATAAATACTTTAAAAAATAAACAAAACATAAATATTAGGTGGTCCGTGTATCGAAGTCCTTGCAATACCTCATTATTTACCTTTGGACACACCGAAATGACAGAGCTTAAAGCTGAAATCTCGGATAAACAACACCTAGTCTTAAGAAAAAAGCACCAATCAAAACTAATGATGACCCAATCAAACCTCAATCTGCCTTCTTTCGGTTTTCCATTTTATCCTACTTTCCCTCCCGGCCACCAACAACTATGATAGGATTATATCAAATATAATATTAATTACACCAAATATATATATCTGTGTGTGTGTGTGTGATGGTATTTTATTTTTAGTTCTTTAGATTTAAATCCCATGGAACATCATATCATTCAATGAGTAAAAACCTGACATATTTATTACATTAAAATAGCATTTAATTATTATATCAGAAAAATAAAAAAACAATTAATTATTTAAAGAGAGAAAAACTTACTACAAAACTGTTTAAAAATCAGATCTATTAATTATTATATCAGAAAAATAAAAAAAAAAACAATTAATTATTTAAAAGAGAAAAACTTACTTCAAAACTGTTTAACAATCAGATCAATCTCTGTTTCTCTAGCCTAATATCTTTTTGTTTCTTCTTGTACATGTCACTTTTATCCCGAGACATTAACTAGACGTAATATAAAGTTTTTGATATAATTTTTTTTATTTAGTCAAAACCTTTGTATAACAATGATCTGAATAGTGCTGGCTAGGAAACTATCATGGCTGTCACACCTCCATGCATCACTTAATTCATGAGAAGATTACAGATCCAAAGAGCTGAAACAAGTTCTTGATCTAAATGAAATATCCATTTTAGAATTTATTCATGCATGGAAATATATAATTTATGAATGCAACACAAGAGTATGATCTGAAATACCAAGCAAATATAATTAACTCGCCTGTAATTCAGTGGTGACAGGATACTCATCCATGTCAACATAGTTCTTGTTAACAGAAGCCATGATGAGCTTGTCGCACTCAGGCTCCATCCATGTGGTCACAAAAGACGCCAGGTTCAGCCTAGGGTTTCCATCCAGCATGAGCTCATCGTTTATGATCTGGTAGGCTGCCTCTTTTGGGATCGAACTCTCTGGTATTCTGAACCTGAAAGAATGTTTATCACGGGGAAATTAAAAAAATGATTTGAAGATCTAAATCAGAAAAACAGATTCAGGAAGTGATGGGATATAGATCACCTTGGAAGCGAGGCTCGAACATATCGAGATGCGAAGGTCGAGTGGACGGAAACATCAGTGTCTAGTGCAGTCTTGGAGAGAGCCATGGTATGAAGAAAAGATCAGAGGTAGCTAGCTGAGAGACAGAAAACGAGAGAGGGATGATGCTTATATGGTGAAAACTTCGAGGCTTTGTATTAGCAGCTTTTCTTGCCATTTCTAACAGACATAGTCGTCATTTATGGCTACTCTTTCATTTCTTTTTTGTTTGGTTGGGGGAATTATGGAGCATAGTGTTTCTTTTCTTAATCTCTTAGCATTTTAGGTTTGGCCTCATTTATTTTAGATGACATTTCCCGTTGATTTCATTTATTTCCTGTTCTTTTTCTTTTTATTTTTTTATTCTCTGTTTTTTTTAAGCAGGTTTACATCTTGCTCCATTGCATTTGATTAATGTAAGATGACAGAAATAATAAATAAAAATATATTTGATTAAATAGATGAAAACAAAGACATAATTAATATAAATGTTTTAAAATAGTTTTGAAATGAATTTTAATATTATTAAAATATGAAGTACAATAAGACAATTCTCTGTTTTTAATTTTTCCGTTTCGAAATAAAAAATAATAGTTATTTCTGAACTAGTTTGTGTACTAATCCAAAATAAATCTCTTGTTCAAACGATCTTAAAAAGACCCTCTTCCTTGTGCTTTTAAAATAATTAATAAATCATGTACTAATTTCCAAATTTAAATACAAAAACTAAAGAAAAAATCATATATTTTTAATCGTCAAAACAATTGTTTCCTACCTCGCAATCAATTTAATTTACTGAATTAGTAGTTCTCACAAGTAATTAAAGAGAGGACATACAATTTCTTACAATTTCAAGCATGTACTATTGTGGAGGGTTTTTTTTTTATTATTTTAAGTTAATGGTAATCTACTCTTCTGATTTATTTCATAATTGTCCTCAAGAATATCTGAGTTATTACACATAATTAAATTAAAAGAAATTAAAGGAGTGCTGAAATTATTGTAGCGTGCTAAACACTGTTTATTTTATCATAAATCATTGTTAATTGTAATGTTGATTTTTTTATTTTTCATTTAATTATTAAACTTTTATTTTACGTAATTAAGTTTATTCGAACCCAAATTAATATTTCATTGCATATTTTTTTTTATTCGAATCCAAATTAACATCTAATTATTGTATTTTTTTTTGGGAGTGACAATTGAATTGAAAGATAAAAAATTAGAGTGAAAAAAAAGTAAAACAGGTGATGAATTTGAAATTTATTTGAAAAGTTTAATTTAATCCCTTATTTTTTTAGCTGTTATGTAAATCATCTCTTTAATTTTTGAAATTTTAATTTTAATATCAAACTTTATTTTCTTGATTTTCAATTCTTTTTTAGTGAGAGAAGAGTGAGGGGCTTGCTCAATTCTAGTGTAAAGAGAAAAAGTTATCGTTGACAATGATTCTAGCAAAAAAAAAGATCGATTTTCAATTCAAGTAGTTTTTTATGATGAGAAGAGTTCAAATTAAAAGTGTGTTTTTAGATGAAAAAAAACAAGAACCTTGTTTATCCACCCCTTAATCTAGAGAATTCTAGAAAATGCGTCATCTATTTTTTTTTCCCAAGCAAAATTAGGGTAAACTAACTTGAGAAAAAAGTTAATATTTCAAGCGCGAGTCTTTTCTTGATGGGTCAAACACTTGGCTTAGCTTACCAAACCCAACAATATTTGCTTTATTTTTTTTAAATACTACCTTTTTATATGTCTTTTTTTAAATAACACCCAATTACATGAGAGATATGAAGACGATTCCTTGACCCATCCAAAATTTAATTTGAATTTATAGTTGGAGGTTGGATTGTCCAGTAGACCCGAAAAAAAATCAGGTTTACAATATCTCAAATGCTATGTACGACCAAAGACATGCAGACAAGTCATGATATATTGACTGTTAGTTCCTTATAATTGGGTTTGAGCTCTCAATCTTTGGTTGTCCAGACGATTATATGAGAACAAGTTGAAGCTCGGACGACTTGACGAAGTGCTGAGATGACCCAACTTAATTAAATCTGAGATGACTGAACTTAAACGATTGTACAAGGAGCTATTGCCGAGCATTGATTGTACATGTGGTCTACCTCATTACCCACTTGGTCCTGATGAAGATTCATCTCCTCCTTTTTTCGGTTTCTATCTATTACATAAACTGTATTCAATAATATTTTTTAAATTAATAATAAAAATTAGTTATTTTATTTTATTTTAATTTTTTTTATGTTTTTTTTTAACTTTTTTAAATATTAAATATAATACTAACGAAATTACCAATGGATTTTTAATCACAAATAGAATGACTAACAGAATAAATCCTTTAGAAAGTTCGAGAGAGTTGACAAAAACTATCTTTTTTAGTGAGAGAAGAGTGAGGGGCCTACTCAATTCTAGTATAAAGAGAAAAAGTTATCGTTGATAATAATTCTAACAAAAAAAAAGATTGATTTTCATGTCAAGTAGTTTTTTATGATGAGAAGAGTTCAAATTAAAAGTGTGTTTTTGAATGAAAAAAAACAAGAACCTTGTTTATCCACCCCTTAATCTAGAGAATTCTAGAAAATGCGCCATCTATTTTTTTTTCCCCAGCAAAATTAGGGTAGACTAACTTAAGAAAAAAGTTAATATTTCACGCGCGAGTCTTTTCTTGATGGGTCAAACACTTGGCTTAGCTTACTAAGCCCAACAATATTTGCTTTATTTTTTTTAAATACTACCTTTTTTATATGTCTTTTTTGAAATAACACCCAATTACATGAGAAATATAAGGATGATTCCTTGACCCATCCAAAATTTAATTTGAATTTATAGTTGGAGGTTGGATTGTCCAGTAGACCCGAAAAAAATCAGGTTTACAATATCTCAAATGCTATGTACGACCAAAGACATGCAGACAAGTCATGATATATTGACTGTTAGTTCCTTATAATTGGGTTTGAGCTCTCAATCTTTGGTTGTCCAGACGATTATATGAGAACAAGTTGAAGCTCGGACGACTTGACGAAATGCTGAGATGACCCAACTTAATTAAATCCGAGATGACTGAACTTAAATGATTGTACAAGGAGCTATTGCCAAGCATTGATTGTACATGTGGTCTATCTCATTACCCACTTGGTCTTGATGAAGATTCATCTCTTTTTTTTTCCGGTTTCTATCTATTACATAAATTGTATTCAATAATATTTTTTAAATTAATAATAAAAATTAGTTATTTTATTTTATTTTAATTTCTTTTATGTTTTTTTTAAACTTTTTTAAATATTAATTATAATACTAACGAAATTACCAATGAATTTTTAATCACAAATAGAATGATTAACAGAATAAATCCTTTAGAAAGTTTGAGAGAGTTGACAAAAACTATATGACTTTACTGTTAATAATTACAAATAAAATTATCAACAGATTAATTCTCTTATGAAGTTCCAGAGAGTTCAAAAACATTACAAGACTTGTCATCAACAATATATGAATCTCCGACGAGTGAATTTTGTCAATAATATGCATTTTATCATTGATGAATTATCAATAGTTTATTTTTTCAATAATATGTCATAATTCTTGATGAAATTATTGACGGAATAATACTGGTAAATTATTTTTGGTTAGCTTTGTTTTTTATCTGTAAAACCATTGAAGATTATATTATTAATAAAATGATTGATATATTATAAATCACATAAAATATATTTTTCAAATGACTAGTTAATAACACCATTCATGATTTCATTGGTATATATTTTTCATGATAGAATATAAATTTAAATATCAAAAAAATATAACATTGGTGTATGCAATAGTTTAATAATGGCTCAAATAAGTCAAAGAAATCAAGTTTTATAAGTTCTAGTATTTGATATGGGATTTAATTAATCCATCCTCTTCTGTTTCCAATATGATATTTAAGAGACTTTTTTTTAATTATGGAAGAAAACTTAACAAAAATCCGAAGTCCTCGTAATCCTTGCTTGATTAAGTACTTCAAGCATAAATCCATTCCTGGGTTTCAAAAACACACACAATCAAGTAGTTGTATATCAAATAACGATGACACCAGTAAAAAAAAAAACAATTTGATTGATTAGCAAAACTAGCCCAACATCATAAATAATAAAGTTGCGAAAGGGAAAATCACTCCAGCTCAATCCCCCATCCTATCATTCTCTAGCAAACACCATTCATCTTCTTCCTTTGAATGACAAGCTTCCTCCAAGCTGCAATAATCTCTCTTGTTTCGTTCTGGACGTCCTTCTTCTCTTTATCGGCCACGGCATCCTTCTCTTCATTAGCCAACACAATCTTGGCACTAATCCTGGATGGCAATGTCTCAAGCTCATGAAGAACCTTGCCAATGTCAATGACAAGACGCTCAGCGAGTGTCCGAGAAAAATCTTCTCGAATTACGACGCGCAACACAGTAACATGTTGAGCATCAGGAGGCATGGTGTAGGCAGGCACAATCCAACCAAAACGCCTTAACATGTCGGACACCTCAAATTCGTTGTGCAAGCTATTGTCCTTCAAAGAAAAGGCCACCAGTGGCACCCCAATGTCTTTCGAAACAATGTTGAACTTGCCTGTCTTCTCTAGACCTTGTTTAAGCACCAGCATGTTGTCTCTACAATTTTCCATAACATTTTTGTATCCCTGATGAATAAGATGTGTTTCTGATGTTAATTGTGATTTTCTTATGCAAAGTACGTGTAATACGATTGATCATGTTAACATGTGTTAAGAGACTCACCTCGTAACCCAACCGAATGAGTTGGTAATATTGAGCAATAACTTGACTAGATCCTGCAAAAGAAAATGAGGGTAAACTGAGTATAGATTTTGGTCGTGAATAACTGAAGGAAAACGTTATGAATCATGGATGTTTTGTCAAGTTACCTTTGGAGAAGTTAAGGGTGAAGGTTGGTTGATCAGCTCCAAGATAATTGATATGGAAGATGAGTTCTTCAGGCAAGTCCTCCTTGTTCCTCCAAATGACCCATCCGATACCAGCGTAGACTAGTCCATATTTGTGCCCACTGACATTGATACTCTTCACCAATGGCAACCGGAAATCCCACTCGAGCTCCGGGTATATAAAAGGT